AAGCTGTCATTGACAACAAAGGCTTTTGTACAAAGTATTAGATAAATTTCAGTAAGTGTGTTCAATACTTTTTCATTCATGGTTTGATTTCTTTGTATGTATGGATCACTTGGGTTGTTACCGACATCTGGTGAAAATTTCATATCATTAGCATCTCTAGTAATATATTTACCGAAAAAAATGGTGACGTGTTCAATACTTATTTTACCCGCTGTATGTGCATATCCTGGGTTTTGGGTTTCAGAAAGCCAGACAGCAGTTATCCTGAGTTAACTTACCCCCACAACTTACTCTGTGAACCAACCCTGTTCTGTAGCAGGATTACTGAACAAATCCTGAGTTTGTCTCACTTGTTAGCTGTGAGGAAAGTGTCAGACAGGAAGTGTCCTTTTCTAAAGGAGCCTGTAGATGTTGGAGCTAATACTCCACAGAAATTTATGTCAGGAAAGAGTGATAAGACCGCGATTAGACGTCTTTCTGGATGAATCTCTTTAAAACCTGAGCAATTAAAAACATCTGAAAATGCTCAATCTTTTACCTCAAGTTCAGCAGCTTGTAGCTGTTTCACAGGAAGCTTTAGGGACAGAAAAATGATCAAATTTCATTTTACATTTCTGCTCTCTAATGAAGTTATGATCAAAGGTTTAAATTCTTACAGATGTATATATTTTTTATTTTATTGCATATAGAACTTATTCAGTTTTTTTAAATGAAATAAACTGCTGAATATAAATGACAGAGGAAAGTTGAGCTCCAGCAGTTGGAGCCTCTTCAGCTGATCGTCCATCATAGCTCTATATGTGAAAAATTAACAATAATTCTGATTCACAGTAAAAAAATTAAATATTGGCAGAGAGTAGATGGAGTAAAACACATTATTTTTTCGAGGGGGAGTGTACACACACACACACACACACACACACAATAATTTTGTGTGTTGAAGCAGTGAATTATGTAATTTATTTGTTAAATGTTGAACACAAGAGCTTATACCTGACCTTACCTGATTTTACTATGTTTGCATATTTAATCTTTATTTGCTGCCATGTCCGTTTGGTACAAGCTGGGTTCACCTACACACACACACACCGCTATGTCTTTCCATCCTTGTGGGGACTTTCTATTGACTTCCATTAATCTTTTGGTAATTTTATCTCCTAACCCTAACCATCTACCCTAAAATTAACCTCACAGGTACCTCCCTGACCCTAAAACTAACCTAAACTCAATTCACACCTTGGTCCTAAACCCAATCCCCAACCTACCAATGGCATTTAAACCAAACAGGGACTCGAATGAGGTCCCCAAATGCACCAGTTGTCCCCAAAGGTAGGCATTTTGTCTTAAAATTGCCCCTAAATGTCACCAGAAACAAACAAACACACACATATGCACACACACACACACACACACACACACACACACACAC